AGTTGATTGGAAAGCATGAAGCCAGAAAAGAGTTCCACAAGCAAAAGGTGCAAGAAAAGAAACTGTTGGCATAAAATTTATTGTTACATCTCGCCATTTCAACTGGAAATTGATAGCACCGTGTTGCTAATCTTGTCTACATTTTATCTGTGGTTGAAGGCATAAAATTGGGTTAAAAATATTTAGATTTCAACATTAAATAACCCATAGAGTTGTTGATATGCCACTAAACAATATCAACCAACATCTTTCCTTTTCTGTGTCTGCTATCAACACTGCGTCATTTGCATATCTCATGTTGTTAAGATTGTGTCCATCAGTATTATTGATTGATTAGCATTATATCAACGTCTATATGTTATTTAATGCTGAAATCTAAATATTTTGAACACAATTTTATGGCTTCAACTACAGATAAAATATACTGTTGGTCATTTTGCTATAAAATGTATTGTTGGTAATTCTGCTTAAAAAATGTATTGTTGGTAATTTTACAATAAATTAGTATTGCAGATAATTTTACTATAAATATGTATTTTTTTTTTTTTTTTTTTTTTTTTAAGCATTCAACCCCAAGCAAGGTGGGAAGCCACTAGCATGCAAGGGGTTGCAGAGAGTTGGAGCTAGAGCAAATAGAAGTGATAGAGGAAAGGATGAAGAGAAGGGGATAGATCAGGGCATCTGGAGACATCGATTGACATTACATTTGAATAGTTGGAGATTATAGTTATCAATTGGTGGTATTTTATACTGCAAAAATATATTTTTATACCTTCATAGTGTTTTTATTTGTTTGGAGGTTCACTCACTGGTGCTACCATACTGGTTCAGGGTAAACCTGTTAACAATTGCAATTAAGATGGCATTTCATACACCTTAAAATCTCTAATTTCCCAATCAGAGGCTTTGCTGCCAGATGCAGTTTAACATCATACCCAGGACTTGTCCATCAATGATAAATACTGGTAATAAATCTAGTTTTTTCAGGATCACCTTGCTGGGAAGATCATTTTAAAATTAGTCTAATTCTCCTTCATAATATACTTATAAGTTTAATTCCTGGGTGTATAAAACTTTCAGTCATAGTCTAACAAATGTACAGCCAAATAATATCCAGTTCATTACGGTCAGAGTGACAGCATTTGTGACTTAGAAATGAAGTAAGTTTGACAATCTACAATGCATAAAAATGTTATCTTTATATTTCAGGTTTTTAATGCAAATTCCTGTTATCAGGGGTTGGGCAGCATGATTATAAACTCTCGGGTGGAATATATTTTACAACATTGAACTTCTAATAAAAGCTGCAAGAATGAAAAGAAACAAACACAAAACTGCTCTTTTAAAAAAAAACAAATTGTTCCTTTACCAAAATAAATTCAATGCATTGATTGAAAAACACAAAAGCAAAAATTTGCCTCGGTAAATAAGGATTGGTAATTGTTTGTTTGATATTTTGTTTTTTTAATTCTTTAGCCGCTTTAGGCATAGATTAAAAAAAATTCATTATTGTCTGAATTTAATTTTTTCTTTGAGGTAAAAAAAATGTAAGAAAACAAATACTTTTATGATTTTTACTAGAGAAAATATGCAAAAAGAAATATTTGCTTTTCAATATAGTCACCTTTGTCAGTGCATTTAACCCAATGCTTCATATTGATCAGATATTATACAGTAAAAATTTAAGATCAAAATTCAATTGACTTAAGTCATAGACTTATGGATCCACCATTATATATATATATATATTATCCCTCACCAGTAGCATGACTCAGAGTTTTATGCAAAATGCAATCTTCATAGAGACTCATATATATATATTTATATATAGACTCAAATTTGAGTTGAAAAATGCTAGCACATTGACTTCAGTTGAAATATTTTATACTCATGAGGTAATTGCTCTGTTATAATAAATACATTGAGCTGTTTTTGCAGATCAGTTTTAATATTTTATATTATTAGAATCAACGTGGATTATATACCAACAGATTTATTACCTGTATTTTATATATATATATATATATATATATATATATATATATATATAAAGGTTTCTAGTCCCTTTTAAAGTTTTCTCATTCTCTTTCACTCCCAGCTGTCCCTTGCATTTTCACCTTGCTTGGTGTGAAATGATTAAATATATATATATATATATATATATATATATATATATATGATATGAAGATATAGTTTTAAGGTGTGCTATGTTTATGAAATAAAAGTGCTCAATCTCAGAGATAGAGCATATGTAAATATAATTACTGTTTCATGCTGGATGCAATCATCAAGCCTGATGATTGCATCCATCATATTTTTTCCTATTCAAAAAAAATTATAACTTCAATATATATTTTATATTTATATATATATATATATATATATATATATATATATATATATATTACAGTAAGGTTCACCTTGTACAATGTCTGGGGGCCTCTTGAAGTAAAGGGTTACATTAAGAGGCAGTTTATGTGGATAGCAGAGCAAGATAACGGTTAACTCTAGACTTGAACAGGTTAAGATTGTAGCAATTGGGGAAACATCATCTTGAGAGTCTGTTCATGAGAAGCTGTTCAAGTGGACCTTACTTCTCACCAATGGAATACAGAGTGAATGTGGGTGGTTCGCTACAATGTAAGTGGCATGGTGGGTCCCAGCTGGGAAGGTTAGATCTGGTGGAACTAAGGAATGTAATTCATCCAAGTACTTTTCATGGGAGTAGCAATAGAACAATGAGAGACTCGCCACATCCTGCCTGTGAGAGAGAGGTTGAAGGGTAGAAAATAATTCTTCTCCAACAAGGACTTGAGAACACTTTTGAATTCTACTGGAAAATGAGGACTGGGCAGCTTCCATACCAATATGACAACAGTACACAGCCTAAATATGCCTGTATATATATATATATATGTGAAAAGTGTATATAAATATAAATAAATATATATATGTATAATTATTTATATATTATATGTGCAGTACTTATTAAAAGCGCTCAATATCAGAGATAGAGCTAACATATTTGGTTGGATAGATGTGAGTTTGTGACCCTGGGTTTCACGCTTTAGCAATCATCAGACAAACTGATTAATTTTTTTTTAAATTTGGGTTTATGTAGATTGCGTGTATTGGTGTTATTGTGGAAGTGGTGGGGGAAATTTTTCATGCTTATGTCATCATCGTACTAACATCAAACATCGATGTATGCAGACACATATACATACTTGGTCATCCGTCGGGACTCATACATATATAAATATATGTGGGCAGTTTCGGATATGACATATGTATAAATATCTTGGGTATATATGTCTATACATATACATTTATATGTTGAAATGTTGAAATTTAAAGATTGGAAGTATGGAAATAAATGTCTATAATGTATACATGTCATATTATTTATTTAAAAATAAATATAAATAATAATAATTTTAACAAAGCCCCCCACATATATACATACATGCGAGGTTCTATTATTCAGCGGAAAAATAAATAATATGATATGTATACATTCACGAGAGACATTTCCATTGCTTCAATCTTTTAATTTCAACATTTCAGCTTACAAATGCATATGTATAGACATAACACCACCCGTATACATACATATGTCATATCCGAAACTGCCCACATATATTTATATATGTATGAGTCCCGACGGACGACCAAGTATGTATATGTGTCTGCATACATCGATGTTTGCATTAGTACGATGTCATAAGCGACGAAATTTCCCCCACCACTTCCACAATAACACCAATACACCCAATCTACATAAACCTAAATTTTTTTAAAAATTAATCAGTTTGTCTGATGATTGCTAAAGCGTGAAACCCAGGGTCACAAACTCACATCTATCCAACCAAATATATATATATATATATATATATATATATATATATATAATTATATATATAATTGTGATTTTATATTGGAGCTAATTCCTCATTGAACACTTTTCTTGAAAATAAACCCATTGAGATGGTGAACACACAAGAGAGACAGACAGACAGACATGTTTCATTGAATAATTTAGACAAGTTTTTCTACTTATTTTCATTGGATCCTTTCCTATTCATGAACAAGCTTTTTGGTGTCATTATTGAAGGATGAGAGAAAACAACTGTGTTGATACATATTATTTATTCCAAATACTTTCGACATATCACAATGGCATCATCAGGGTGTTGTTTTTTTTTTTCAAAACAAATATATATATTCATTTCACCCTAAGCAAGGTAATAAAGCCACTAGGATGCAACAGGAAAAAAGAAATTCTAGGATTTTTACTTTTGTCTCATTTGATTTTCATTGGTGAGTCATATTTCATGTGCATTCAACTCTTTAAACCAACATTAGTATAATTTGTGGCATTCTGAATTCAAAAAGAGATAACATGTCCATTTGAAATTTAAAGAAATTAATGGATCCCAAGCCTACCTGAAAAACTATAAATAATGCTTTATGTTTACAAGTGCATAAAAATTGTGGTTTGTCTATGAGGGATTCAAAGTATAAATGTGTATTCGTAAGTGGGTGTGTACATCTAGTATGCAATATGTTTGTTTACAGCCCCCACTGTATATGTGTACTTTAATATAGGTTTGCCTGAATTTCTCTCTAATTTTTTTAAGCTATACACCTTGTGTTTTCTTGTCTAGACAGAAAGGGTTACCTGAATGCAAGATCAGTTTTTTTGTTTATATTTTCTCTACTCATCTAAGCAAAGTGAAACTGAAGTTATTCCGTTTTAGAGTAATAAATATTTCCTTGAAATCTATAGGAATTTATTACCTCTTCTGCTAATGTATAATTCTCAGCTATCACATGAATTGCACTGAATTTGTCCAGCGTTTCTCGAATCATATGAGGTATCCTATAACACCATGAAAAATCTTAAGTGTATTTGTTGTATACTAGCTCTCTCCCATGGTACTTGTTACACTTGAATGCAACGGTAATAACTCTGATGAAACACAAGTGGGGATACATTTTTAAAGTAACTTTGTTTTAAAATATTGTTTTGAAATGAACACACTGTGATAGATAGATAGATAGATAGATATGGACTGAGATAGATAGATATGGACTGAGATAGATAGATAGATATGGACTGAGATAGATAGATAGATATGGACTGAGATAGATAGATAGATAGATATGGACGGAGATAGATAGATAGATAGATATGGACGGAGATAGATAGATAGATAGATAGATATGGACGGAGATAGATAGATAGATAGATATGGACAGATAGATAGATAGATAGATGGATATGGACTTAGATAGATAGATGAGATAGATATGGACTTAGATAGATAGATAGATAGATATGGACTTAGATAGATAGATAGATAGATATGGACTTAGATAGATAGATAGATAGATATGGACTTAGATAGATAGATAGATATGGACTTAGATAGATAGATAGATAGATATGGACTTAGGTATGAACTTAGCGAGATAGATGGTTATGAACGTAGATATGGACTGAGATAGACATGGACTGAGATAGAGAGAAAGATAGATATGGACTTAGGTAGATAGATAGATATGAACATAGATATGGACTGAGACAGAGAGAGAGAAACCAACAGATTGAGAGACTGAGATATATATATATATAGAGAGAGAGGGAGATAAAGAGATAGATGTATTTGCACAGACTAATACAGATAGATATCAACAGTGATATATATATATATATATACACATAGAGAGAGAGAGAATGCCTGCAATAGTTAGATATGGATGAATTGTGACAGATATGAACAGACAGATAGAGAGGGAGACTAGAGATGGACTGACAGATTTGCACAGGCTAATACAGACATATATATACAGACATATATGAGCAGAATATAGATACATAGATATAGATGGACTGAGATAGATACAGAAAGAGAGACCAACAGATAGAGATGGACTTAGATAGATTTGCACAGACTAATACAGATAGATCTGGACAGAGTTATATAGATACATAGATATAGACGGCCTAAGATAGATAGATGGAGAGTTAATGACAAAGAAATGGATTCATGCCTTTCCTAAGGTTAACAGTGTAAAATAAACAGCACAACTCCTGTAAAGATTTGAACTTATCCCACCAATTTCATTATCCGTGCTGATAACCATCATGTCATCCCATTCCCACCTAACACATTCCAGAAGAAATGCATTTATGTTTTCTGCAGTATGCTTTTGAAGTTATTTCTGGCTGAATGAAAACAAAGACGTTCATATAATTTAATTTAGATAGCCAGTGACTAATCAATTCCAATCCTTCTTCTTTTGTAGTCAAGAAAATTTAATAGCAACGTAAGGATTAAAACAAAACAAAAAAAGCATTTTATTTTACTTGTAAAATAATTTTCAGTGCTTCAAGATCAAAGAAATAAAAGATTTCAAGTTCTGAAAGATTTCTTAGTTTCTTTGATATGACTGAGTTTAACTTTAACATTACCAATAATTGTTTTTTGTCCTTTGATGTTAAAAAGAAAAAATCAGCAATATTATTGGTCATGACCTGGCATCTTGTCTTCAGTCATTTTCCCACTACCATGATGTAGCTTTCCAGTGTTTTTTCCATAAATACTTTCATGGTAATTGTTCAGATGAACACTTTGCTGTGGTATGTATACTATGAATTTAAGCACAGTACTAGATTGGCAGTAAGGTCTCATCAATCCATGGTCAAATTGGCTAGAGAAGTAAATAGCTTTGTCTATCATCTTGTTCACACTCCTCCCTAGTCTTTTGAACAGGAGTTGAGGTTTATCCCTTGTTTCCTTTTTAGGAATGGGTTTCCAGTTCCTTCTAAAGACTTTTCCTTCTCTTTCAGTCTCAACAGCCTCTTGCCTCTTAGTGGCATTATCACCCTGCTTGAGGGAAATTGATTAAAAAAAAAGAAAAGAAAAAGTCAAGTCAGTATTAATGTATAGTCTTCTAGAAAGAAAACCATAAGAAATACTACAGAAGGTAGTGAAAGAAGGTAATAATAAATGACTAAATATTTGTCTATATTTCTGAGATGTGGTATTATGTTCACTAATTACATTGTTCGGACTCTCATCTTTGTTGTCATATTTATCACAACGTTTCGGCCGTTGTACACCATGTCCTCAATGACACATAGCACAGTGGATAAAGGCATTAGTTAGATCCAGTAACAGGACCCAAAGAGTGTGAGTTCAATAACTGGTTAAGGCAGTGGAGAACTTCCAGAGGGGAATTAACAGGAGATAACTGATAACTGACATCCATTAGACATGGCACGTGGAACTAGAACAGTCTATCCTAGCGAGCAAAATAAAGGGTTCAGTTCAACATTCCAACCACCTGTAGAAGGCCAGAGCGTACAACGGCTAAAACATTGTGATAAATATGGCAACAAAGATGAAGACAATAAATAATGTAAATAATGACTAAACATCAATTGTAAGAAAATAGAATGCATTGTTGTTAGCAAAAAGTACAGCCCAACATGAAAATTATAAATTGGAGATGTCAAAATCAAGCAAGTACAGAAATCTAAATATTTATGGATATTCATGTAATGGCAGCAAAATCATTCAGAAATATCTAAACTGTCAGCTGTATACAACCACTTTCTTACATCAATAATTATAAATGGCTTTGAGTGATTTATGTACGAAAATCAAGCAATTAACTGAATTCAGACTTAGCAGATAGAGTAGAACACTGGAGTGTCAGACATCTGATAGGATCAGTGTATATTCTAAGCTATGAGAATCCCATTAGTAGACCTAGCATAGAAATAAATACCATTTAGGAGCTATTAATAAAGAAAGAAAGAGAAGTAGACCCTAGTTATACCATCTCTTACACAAACAGAAGGAGTCTGCATTCCAACTTCCTAAACTTGGAATTTCATCTTCTTCAATCTCAACCTGACCTGTTCCTGCCTGAAATTAGTATCAATGCCTCAATTCCATTGCAGGAACTCACAATTTTGGGCTACTGACTCATTATTACAAAATACAACCACCTAAATTGCCATGACCATGGGCTGGGTGCCTACATCAAGGATGGGTTTCCCTGTGGCAGGGACACAAAAAACAAGGACCCTGAGATCCTGTATATGTGTTCCCATGTGGCACATCCATAGTACCACATTCATCTTTGCTCTGTACCATCCTCAGGTCAAAGGGTCATTAATCTTCGATTGAATATCAGAGAGGATTGACAATATCCTCACCCAATTTTCACATATGTAGTGACTTCAATGTTCACCACAAAAAGAGATTATTCCACTCTAACAAAACCAATGATGAAGGCAAATATTGCAGAGACTTCTCCATCATATATGAATTAATCTAGATCATTGAAGAACTCGCCCAAGACCCAGATGCATTGGAACAGCATGGCAAGCCTCCATGACCTTTTTCTAACATCTTGCTCTGATAAATGCTCAGCAAAAGTTCTAGTCCCTGTTGTCTCATCAATGTTCAGATTGACTCCAGACCAATGACATCCTCTAATTTATCATTCCATAGAATGATTTTTTTGCTATGTAGAGACACACTGGGACAGATTTTGGTCCTATATGACAGAAGTTCCTCTCCCAACCTTCTTGAAACAAGCTGCACCCAAAACTGCTGCCCTAATCTCTGAATGGATCCTTTCTGGAATGAAGTGTTTTATACCCACCAAAAAATTCCATCAAAAACCTAACTGTTCACCCTGGTTTATCCCTGAATGTATTCCAGCCATAGCTAATCGAAGCCACTACTTCAAAATCTATCACAAGGCGCAGTGTAGTCTGGCACTTACCTCTTTCAGAACCAACTGAATTCACTGTAAGACAGTCCTGGAAAATGCAACGTACAGTTACATATGATCTGTCCAGGCCAAGGTTGAAAATAAACAAATTGTATCTCATGAATTCTGGAAGGTCACCAACCAAATTAGGAACAGAGGCAAAGTGGCTGTACCCACTATTATAAATGGACCTGAGGTCATATCATCTTTGACAAAGTGAAGCTCTTCCCCTCAATCTTTGCCTCAAACTCAACGTTAGATGGCAAAGGTCATCCCCTCCCCAACTTCCCATGTTTCACCAATTACAATCTCAGTATTATACTCATTTCAGCAAGAGAAGTCTCTAAACTTATCAAAAACCTTCACCCCAAAAAAGCCACTGGCCCAGACAAAATTCCAGTGGATGCCCTTAAGAGTATCAGCCCAGAATTATTCCTGATTCTAGCAAATTTACTGAACTGCTGGTTGAAAGAGAAATCTTTCCCAAGCATATGTAAGGTGGTAAATGTATGCCCAGTCTTCAAGGACACATGCAACCAATCTTCCCCCTCACAATATAAACCCATTAGTTTCCTCAGTATCATCAGTAAGCTTTCTGAGGCCTTAATCAACAAGGTGATCATCAAGTCCCTGAATAGGAACAACCTCTTGCACAACAAGCAGTATGGGTTTTGATCAGCCCGATCCACTGCTGATGTCCTAACTACTATTACATACAGAATTAGTGAAGCTCTTGATGATACACATATTGCATGGATGATAGCATTAGATATCTCAAAGGCCTTCAACATGGTGTAGCACAAAAGTCTGCTACAGAAGCTCTCTATCTGCGGAATCACTGGAAGGGTTTTATCTATTATAAAATCCTTCCTAACAGGTAGATCCCTGAAGGTAGTTATTTACGGCCAGTCCTCTGAGGCCCTAGCGGTCAATGCAGGTGTCCCCCAGGGGTCACTTCTCGAACCAACCCTCTTTTTGGTTTACAGAAATGAACTACCTAAGAATATACTGTGTGCATTTGTAAATGTTTATGCTGATGATACAATGAGGATATAGGGGTGCACCTCTAAAAGTCTTGATGATCAGGGATCAACAACTGACCTCTTTCCCAATCTAACACTAACTTCCCAGTGGGAACAAAATGGCTGGTTACATTCAATGCCTCTGAAACCAAACTGGTTACATTCCATCACCACTAATCAGACTCTGAACTACCACCAGTCATGATGAACAGATGTCCTCTTGAGGAGGTCCTTGGCTTTGATAGGATGGTGGACCTCAAACTCATAGCCAACCGCAAGTGGAATTCCTATATATGATCCATCACTAAAGATGCAAGTAAAATGATTAGCTCCCTGTAAGTACCTAACACCCCTTGCTACCCTCTACCTTTTTTAGCCAAATTGTTGCCATATTTGGCAGGAGCTTCCCAGACCTCACTTTCCAGTCTTCAAAAACATCTCCCAGTCCTTGTGGAAGATGAATTATTTTCCGCGCTACAAACTCTCTCTCACAGGCGGCATAACTCTCTCTCACAGGCGGCATGTGGTGAGTCTCTCACTGCTTTATCACTATTACCATGAAAAGTATTCAGATGAATACATCTCCTGGTTCCACCAGGTCAGATCTTCAGGGCTAGGACCCACCATGCAACTTACATAGTATCAGACCACCCACATTCGCTCTGTATTCCATTGGTGAAAAGTAAGTTCCACTTAAACGGTGCCACTGTGCCATGTGTCCTTGAGGATAGAGGCATTAGATCCAGTGACAGGACCCAAAGAGT